GGAAAAGTCCAGGTATAGTATATTTTTATGAATTTAGGACACAGTTACTGTTATTATTTAAGAGCTATATGTATGTCTCATAAATACCTTGACTGGCCTTCTCGATGGCCTTTCATTGAAAATGTTTGTAATAGGGATGGGCATTAGTACTCAGTTTGGACGTCAGTATTTGTTCAACATCTGGAACAGTCACATTTTTTCATATAGAATCTGTACAGCCGCAGATAACGTTCATTGTTTTCAGTTACATATGACCTGATCTTTGCTCTTGTTTTCCATGGTTGGCCAATTTATATGCACGTGAAAGCAATACATAGTGAGAGATACTCTTAACGAAACTGAGTTCTGTTAGAATATAGTGGCTAAGGTAGGAAAAAGTAAACCAGCACAGCCTTTTTACCAGCCACATTTTTTAATTATTGAAACACAACTTAATGTTTGTGAATGTGCTTTTTCTTCATGTAGGCTACTCTCTACAGTCTGTGCAGCACAGAAAGGTGGGATAACCCATCCCCCAACCGCCTTTTATTATTATTTTATTTGTGAGTACTGTTATAATAATTTAATGCAAATACTGAATGAAAAATGCCCATCCCTAGTTTTTAACACTATAATTGCAACAAAACCTACCCTTTACATCTAAAAGTGAGTCTCTCTGTCGAATGACTGTAGATGTACATTATAGAATATAGGTCATTTTATTATGTGGAGGAGATAAATATATATACGCGATTATCCATATCTGATTAAAATGGGCGGATATCCTCCTCCTGAGTCACATTTTTAAAGATGAGTCACTGATGTTCCTATCTGGTAAAATACTTCACCCCTCATGTCAGCAACAAGAATAAAGTCTTTTCCTTTTTGGACACTTTGCCGTCAGCGCAGGTCCAACACACTAAAGCAGAAGTGGGAAGCAATAGGAAGACATTAACAAACACACAGATGAAAACAGAGTGAGACACATGGAAATAGGGCTGTTCACCATTCTAAATTTGATTATATAATCAAATTGCAAAAAATAACAGACAATTGTTCACTGAAATGTAGGTCAAGCTGAAACAAGCGAATAATTCAACGACAGCCGTGGTAATGATGGCAGAAAGTTCACAACCCAACTGGGCTGCAGAGAGATTTGCACTCTGAGCGCTCTTAAACCGTTTAAGAATAATCACATTGCAGCAAATAATAACCAGAACTTCATCGGCTACTGCGGGTGGGACTACAGCAGCTAAGCTTAGCTTCCATGGTGCAGAAAATAAACTACATTTATTACACGTATCACTAGCAGAGGAATAGCTAAACATTTCACACACCGAGCAACAGAAACCAGGACAGGACAGAGCAAGAGAAGCCATTGATAACTGCTAAGTGTGTAAAGAACTATGGGATTAGGGACTTAGTCATTAAAAGGAGAGAGCTATGTGCTTGAGCAGAACTAGTGTATGTTTGTATGTATAGCAGGCAACTATCTGATGAAATGAAGAATATAAGTATATAATTAATAAATGATATAATAAATGTAACTGGGTTGAGCAAGAGCAGCAAAAACACGCTACCAGCAATACAGAAGCACTCAACCAGAAATGACCGCAGCACACCAGAGGGGGTCACGTCTTTCAGTCAGGAGACGCCATACTTATGTATTCGCACAAAAAACGATATTTGTAGTCTAGCCTATGTGATTTTTTTTAGGACAAATAATCAACCCTGTTTTTTGGCCAACTTTGACAGCACTACTTGGAAAGAGGAGAAGAGAGAGTGGGGGGAGAAGAACAGAGAGAAGTTAAAAGAGGTCAGACAGTGCTGAAGGGAACTGTTGGGTAGTGTGTCAGTGAGAAGAGAGCAAAGACAAATAGAGGAGAGATGAAGAGAGGGGAAGATGGAGGGATGGTATGATGGCTAAGGAGGAGGAGGAGGATCTCTTCTTCCCTTTATTTCTCTGTGTCTCTCTCCCTCTCTCTCTGTGTAAACAGAGCAGACCAGTAGAGGGGAGTTGAGCCTCCTCCATAGTGGAATGTCTGGTATGGCTACTAAAGCAGGGGGGAGGGGAGTGTGTGTGTGTGTGTGTGTGTGTGTGTGTGTGTGTGTGTGTGTGTGTGTGTGTGTGTGTGTGTGTGTGTGTGTGTGTGTGTGTGTGTGTGTGTGTGTGTGTGTGAGGTTAGAGGGAGGCAGAATGACAGAGGGAGAGGAGTTGTGGATGGCCCTGGTATCTTAATCTCAAAGGTCAGGACCTTAAATTGTGTCATAGTCTGTCTTTGTCACGTCTGTGAACAAAAATAAAACAACCGCTTTGACAAAGCGAGCCCGGACGCAGGATTAGGGTGGGATGTTACGGTTTACTTTAGCTGCCGACTCCTCCACACTGTTGCTTGGAGTGAAATGAGGAAATTACATAAGAAATGACAGAACATGAATGAATTTCATCCAACCTATTTTATTTGCTAAGGCGTGTAAATGTAGAAGGTTAGAGGGACCGCAGTTCTGACAAAGACCAGACCGTTATTTTTAAGAGATAAGAGTTTAGATTGGATCTAATTTTAATGCCATGGTATGGAATGGAGCACAACATTGACAACAATGGCACCCAGCTAAAATGATGCAATATAAATTATTTCAACAAACATAAAACATTCTTCTTCTTCTTCTTCTTCTTCTTCTTATTAATAATAAGTTATTAAGTCATTATTTTACATACAACTTTTGGCAGTAGTACCAAAGGTAAACATAGATAAACAACATGTGTGCATTGCTCCACGAGGCAAACTATGCACAAGAACTAACTATTGATGTCAGTAAACGTGTGAGAGAGACAGTGCAGTGGAATGCAGTGAAAGAATGAGCTTTTCAGATACAACAAAAATATGTCAGAATCCCAGCGATGGTGAGAAAGAACAAATAGATTCATCGGCCCTCAGTTCTAACAAAAACGCTGCGCTTGTACCGTAAAAGGCTTTGCGGGCCGCTGTGTGGAACAGGATTCAAAGACGAGGATGACCGCCATAAGCATCCACGATAGTTTGAAATCAAAAGTAACACCACACATTTGTACAACCACCTGAAACGTCACATCAAGGCCAGGAAAACCTAAAGGGAAAATCCCCGTCGGACCACAACTCAAACATCCGGAAGATCGGTAGAGGTTATGACTTAATGTTAGCGGTCACCACTGCAAAGCAAGAGATTAATGCTTTGTTCAACTTGTGCTCTTAGTGTAAGGCAGGCTATCACACGTTAGCCTCACAGTTGGCTGTGAGCCTACAGACTGTGAGGGTCATTGAGGATCTAATGGTTGGCTTATAACAGATCATTGTGATAGCAGTCTTCCTTCCTATCTGGACAGGGCCTCTGTGTTTTAGGGCACAGAGGCTGTATCTGGCTACAGGTGAGCTGTATATTCGTGACATTGTTTTTAACACACACTGGAAAACACTTTTCAAAGGTGTTCTAAAGAGTAGCCAATAGACTTGAATTGAATTCAGCGTATCCTAAAAGTTGCAGTAGTTTAAATAGTACTTTTCTTATGTTTCTGTGTGCTTCCATTCTAATGAAAAACAATACTGTCCAAGAGGGTAGTCACTACAAAGCTCACAGACAAACTGTTTAAATCTCACATTGACAGTAGGGATGTAAGAAAAGTATTGTATCCCAATACTGAAACCTATTATATAGCAGTGTTGTAAATGTAAACTGAGGGCTCTGACATTTACAATAAATTGACACGAAAAATGAACGAGAAACAAATCTTTTGATTTCCGTTCAACAGTTCATTTGATGTTGTCACATTTTTGTGCGAGCCAGACAAACAGCAGTCATTTTATATCTGCTCTAAAATCCACAGTGACCCATACACCCAGGAGTAAAGCACAAATAATCCTGCATTATCTGGTTTTGTTTCTTTATTTTCTAACAGACAGTCCACAATGGACTATATTACTGTAAACCAACTTGTTATTATGTCCAATTTCACACCTGCATTTAAAGAAATAGTTTCACTTTTTGAATTTTGCTTCTGCCCAATTCCCTGTAATAGTGCAATGTGTTGTTTCACACATTGGTTTTTCTATGTATTAAAGAGACAACATTTAAAGTGTGAATTAGTGAGCTGCAGAGGTGCTGGGAGGCAGCTTTTGTCACTTTGGGACACTGCCAGGTCAGTTGTTTCCTAGTGTTTCCTGTCCAACTGCTGGCGGTAGTGTCATATTTACTTACAGACATGAGAGCAGTATCAATCTTTTCATCTAACTGCTAGCTGAAAACTGGTTGGTATGGACTGTGTTGGTAGTAGTTGCAGGGCTGGGATAATCTGTCTATACCTTTTGTATATATGGAGTCATTGGATGTGGAACAATTAAAAACTAAGAAATCTGTAAAAGAAGTGTGGAAATATAAAGACAAATAATGAAATATGAAAGAAAAATTATAAGCATTCATTTATTTTCATATTTATCTGTTGATTATTTTTGTGCATTTAAATTACAGGGAAAGATGTACTGAAAATAATAATAAAAAGAATATACAAACACAAAATGAAAATGTATTTATTTATATTTCCACATTTATTTTATTATTCTTTACAGATGTATTTTTTTTTACCGCACTCCTATGACTCCACATTTGTAAGGTAGAGTACGGTGAAGGCTACAAACAAAAAGGATGGTCCCCCTCTGACGCAACTGTGCCCCAAAATCATCAGATCATTTGGTTTGTGTTTTACAGTACACACTTAAGGAGCTTAATGTTAAGTCTTCCTGCTGCCATGCATGACTGATAGCTAGCTGACCTGCATCCACTCTCCTGACTCAACCCTTCTCCAGCATTGCACCTTAAGCATTGTGTGCAGTAGCAGTAGGGGACGCTGTCACTTCCAGCACATAGACACAGATTGAACTGTTCCAAATCTTACTGCAACTCAGGTCAAATACAAATAAACAAAAATGCATTTTAAGTGCAGTCTTACTAAGTGTCCTTGATTTTCCTCCCTGTGTCTCCTCCTGCAGCCATAGAGACTGAGAGCACGAGTTCAGGAGAGGACCTGCTCGTCCCCAGCCCCCCCTCACCTCCACCTCCGCCCCGCATCTACAAGCCCTGTTTTGTATGTCAGGACAAATCTTCAGGATACCACTACGGGGTCAGCGCCTGCGAGGGTTGCAAGGTAGGCGGCTAAACATATGCGTGAGCTAAACCTACGCTGACACAACGTACACACACAAACACACACACCACACTCAGTAACATCCAGTCTGGATAACTGGGACGTGTGTGAACAGATGCATGTTTCAGCTAGAAAACCTGAATTAAAAATAGTTATGTGAGACTGCCAAGCATTTACATAATGTGTAAGTGACCAGGTCGCGACCTTTGCACCTCCTCTAGCATCTGTAAGCCTCTTTGCTTCATCTAATCCTACACACAGACACACACAAAGAATCTGTGCTGCAACTAGTTTCTACTTTAGATCTGTGTGTTGGTTTTTGTGTGCTTGTGGTCAAGCTCACATCCTATTAGGCCATGTACTACTGCTACCAGCTTCCCATAAACAATAAATAGCATCTTCCTCACGTGCAGTAATGGCGATAGCTGTGGCGGGTGCAGCTTTGGTTCTGATACCGAGGTTGACCCTTGACAACACTGTGTTGTATTCTCCTCCCCTGCTTCCGTACCTCAGTCGTTGCCTCCTTTTCTCTGTGTCAGGGTTTCTTTCGGCGGAGCATCCAGAAGAACATGGTGTACACGTGTCACAGAGACAAAGTGTGTGTCATAAACAAGGTGACGAGGAACCGGTGTCAATCCTGTCGACTGCAGAAATGCCTCGACGTTGGCATGTCCAAGGAGTGTGAGTACAGCGCATTAGATTCACTTCCACTCTGTGTGTGGAGCAGGGTCGGGAGGGTTATTTTACAAATGTAATCCGATACAGTCAGTAATTACCTTTTTTAAAAATGTAGTCTGTAACCTAATACAGTTCCATGTAATCTGTTACTCCCCAGACCTGGTATTGAGTTATGTGTGGACGAGGATAAGCTTCTAAAGGAACTTTACCGCAAAGGGTTAATATAAGTCATGTAATGATGAAGCAGAGCACAGGGCAGTCAGTCTTGCAGTCTTACTCATATATGTACTTAAAGCAGGAGAAGCAGTACAGTTGAAGCTCAGTGGTCCTCACAGAGAGTGACGTTCACAGAGTGATGTTTCAACCTTGACATTTGCCTCCCTCTGGTGGCCTTTCTCAGTTAATACAAGGCCCACATAACCAACCACCATTAACTTCTAATAATCAGCCTTCTGCATCACAATTAGGGATGTAACGATCCACATTTTTTCTCTTCCGATCCGATCCCGATACCTGAATTTGGATATCGGCCGATACTGATACTATTCCGATACCAGAGCTCTGTTTTCTTTAATATTATTATTATCATTATTGTTGATTTTATATGAGATAATATGAATAAACTCCTCAACAGGCAAGTATGATATGTACGTTTGTATGCATGTATGTCCCAAAAGGCAACTTGAGGTAAGTATAAGGTCAGAAAAGGAAGTCAGAAAAACAGGAAATCCCTTTAACAGGAAAAATCCCATTCTGAAAACAAATATGCAACTGTAAGGGTTTCAAATTGATTGTCATGTCAATATTTATTAAATTCCCAAAATGTCAAATATTTGAGTCTTGAAATATAAGAAAAGTGCAATAAGTGTAAACATCTTACACACACACTATCAATAAAACAGTGTGCATCTGAACAGCACAAATCAAGTACACTGGCTCTTGTAGCATCAATAAATCAAGTATTTAAAATGTCAATTATCTGAAATATAAGAAAAGTGCAATAACTGTAAACATCTAACACACGCTCGCACGCACGCACGCACACACACACACACACACACACACACACACACACACACTCAGTAATCCCTTTAGCTTTCCCGTTGTCTGCCTGGAGTTTACCTTGTTTTTGGAATGACTCCAGAAGTGATTCCTGACAGCTCGCCTAAAAAATCCTTGTGCTGTTTCGTGTGGTGCTTTTTTTAAATGTTTGATTGCGTTCGTAGTGTTGTACGACGCAAGAGAGCTTCCGCGTCTCTGAATTACGGCTTTGCAAACATTGCATTTTGCTGCTTTGCTCTGCAGTGTTTCCAGTGTAAAGTATTTCCACACAGCGGACATGTTGGCTAGCCACAATGCTGGATTTCCTGAGCGGGGGCGTGTCTCATAACTCTGTCTCATTGAGCCGCGCCTCCGTTCAGGAAATGCATTCCACAGTTTGCAGCCAGCTAGCAGACTGGCCGGCAGGAATCACCTGTGGAGTCATTTCAGCAGACAACGTTAAAGTGCAGACACGGCTCATGGATATCGGAAATCTGCGCAGGTTGGATCGGGAAATTCCGATACGTGAATTACGCTGGTATAGGTCCCGATACCATCGGTACCGATACGGGATCGGATCGGCCCCATCCCTAATCACAATGCCTTCACAGATTTACTGTTATACTTCCATATACTTGCAAGACTACAAAATGAATGGTCCAATGAATGCACCATACGCCCAAATGTAGTCCCTGGTATGTGTCAAGCTCCAGAAATGCTCCAATCCATGCTGTAACCTATTTTCATTAGCCCCTCACTGCCTGGTTGAATGACGTTGTCTTTCAGTTGAGAGTTGTAATTCAGGCTTTGTGTTATAAATGTATACATTTCCAAGCCGAGATCACCCTGATGACATCATGAAGGGCTGTTATCTCAGTCAGGTCAAAGCTTCTCCAAAGCCAATCACAGCCCATGACCATACGTTCATGATGCAAGCTCAGATGAGTCCCTTTGGTTTTAGTCGCTGTTTCTTGACCCGATTGAACTGAGCTAGAGTTGCATTACCTTTTCCAAAGTGAGCTCCACTGAGAGTGAAAGTTCACCCGTATTCATTCTCTATGGGATAGTTGCTTTTAATGGTATAGTACTCTTTATGTATTCTTTCGACTGCTTTCAAAAGAAGGCCAACTCAAAAGCCCAACAGGCCACCAGCTACAATGTACGTTAATGTCATTATCGTAACTCTAACGTCAGCTAGCTAACTGCATTCTCACCTACAGTATCTTACTTCAGTGTGCCTGTGGAGTTGGAAAAGGAGTTTTTAGACCCAGAAATCTCAGTGTTCATTGGGAGGCACAGCAAGCACTTCATGTAACTGTTGTCTTTTTTAGATTTTGGTATAAAAATTAGCCATGTGTGGCCAGGGTTTGGTGCTGGACACTGCCTCTCGCTCTGGGTTTTGCTCCGTCATCATCGCATTGTGGAGCTTATTTTTCTTCCAGGCAGCTGCTCAGACACTGTCCCCCTTGTACTCAATCCCCGCATTTAGAGCAGAGTTGTAACGAAGGTATAAATGACAAAAAGTGGATTACTGGCTCAAAAATATACTCAAGTAGAGAGCAATGACATTATAGTGCTTGCTCCTTAAGACAACTTACTTTTTTACTCATGTGCATTACTTTCCATCTGTTACTAGTGTATATATGATATGATATTAAATGTTCAATGCGAGCTGCTGCCTAAACTCCTCTCTCTTCTGCCACCATCAGTGGTGCGGAATGATAGGATGAAGAAGAAGAAGGAGGAGAAGAGGCAGGGGGAGGCAGAGATCTATGTCCTGTCAGCAGACACGGAGCAGATGATCGAACGAGTTCGCCGGGCCCATCAGGACACATTTCCCTCCCTCTGTCAGCTGGGAAAATACACCACGGTACACACACGCTTATTTGAATCCAAAAATGCACATTAAAATACTCTGACTATAAAGATTTTTTCTTCAGCTTACTAGAAAAAACTTTCTTGTTTTCCTCACCTGACCCCCGCCCTGCAGAACAACAGCTCTGAGCACCGCGTCTCTCTGGACGTCAATCTGTGGGACAAGTTCAGTGAATTGTCCACTAAATGCATCATTAAGACAGTGGAGTTTGCCAAGCAGCTGCCTGGCTTTACAACGTTAACCATCGCCGACCAGATCACACTGCTCAAAGCCGCCTGCCTCGACATACTGGTGAGTTTATCACTTTAGTCACACGCAAACACTCAACAGGTCCTCAGCAGAGACGCAGAAAATGTACAGTTGCGGCACAGCAAAAAGTTGCGCATCAAAAACCTCAACCTTCTATTCTTTTCTGCCACTTCATCCCCCTTTCCTAGATACTAAGGATCTGCACCCGTTACACCCCGGACCAGGACACCATGACCTTCTCTGACGGTTTGACTCTGAACCGCACGCAGATGCACAATGCCGGGTTCGGACCTCTCACAGACCTCGTCTTCTCCTTCGCCAGCCAGTTGCTCCCACTAGAGATGGACGACGCTGAGACAGGATTACTTAGTGCCATCTGCCTGCTCTGTGGAGGTACTGCACTTGGTTTTAATGAAAGAAAATCATTTAAAAATGTCTTTAATGTTAGTGCTGTGATGGAAAAACTGTTTAGGACCTAAATTAGTCAAACAAAGTGTCTGTTTGAGTCCTACAGTCACAGAGATGGTTGTGTAGATTCCTGTTCTGTGTACTCACTGTTGTAGTTTATAAATGTGTAATACAGCTTGTTGCATTGGCTGTGTATTATAATGTGTGTGTGTGTGTGTGTGTGTGTGTGTGTGTGTGTGTGTGTGTGTGTGCGCAGACCGTCAGGATCTGGAGGAGTCAGACAAGGTGGATGTTCTTCAGGAGCCAATTGTTGAAGCCTTGAAGGTTTGATATTTAATTAATGTTATAGTACTTGTACTGTATTGTTGCTTGCAGTTTATTGCCATCATTCTATTCTCAGCAGATCAGTAAATGTAGTTTCTAACAAACATTGCTCAAATATAAAAAAAAAAAGACCAAATATATTTATATCTCTGTGATCCATATGAACACATCCTCCATGTCTTTACGTGTGCATAGATCTATGTGAGGAGGAGGAGGCCTGATAAACCCTGTATGTTCCCCAAGATACTGATGAAGATTACTGACCTCAGGAGCATCAGTGTGAAGGGTGAGACACACACACAACATGTGACTATGTCGCTTTTATTTTTTAACCATCTTCAAAATGTGGTTGTCTTTTCGTCATAGAGAGCCTAGCACATAGCATATCTGAGTGCAGGAAAGGAGGAAGTTGACTGAGGTTCTGACCAAGGCTTAGTCAGCTGTTATTGGAGCACAGAGACAGGAGGGGTGGGAAGGGTCAATTGCCAGTAGTAGCCAACACAAATAAAAGCCAGTTGCCAACAATGAAGGGATAGGTAGAATCTCTTTTCATAAAAAACTTTCCATAAAAACAGGAAGGAGGAAACATTTCAATATTCACTTTATTGCATCATAGTTTCACCAAGTTTCTTTGACTACACTAGGCTTTTAAAAAAAAAAAAACAACAACTCTATATATATATTTACTACACATGAAAGACGAGTACAGTGACAAACTCAATGTTGTCAGGTGTACTGAACAAAATAATCACACCTACTAAGAAAGTATGTTTGCAGTTGATACAAAGGGTACATTTAACCACCAATTACAGATAAGGAGTAACTCCAAAATAGATATTGTTGAAAATAAAAAACAAAACCAATACAAACAGGATATAAAACAATATAATAACATAACAGGAATATACAAGTAGAGAAAGACTAGCCATTCACATTGTAGTGCACAAAGGTTCTTTGCTTGGCCGTTTTGGACCTTGTTGAGTACAGAAAATGTTTCTTTTAGTTCATTCCACAGTGGAGGGATTTAGCAAAACAACATTTATGTATCAAGTATTTTGTTATGATGATGTTATTTTTAACAAGAAATTCAATCTGTTTGTTCTTCAAGGTGACTGCTAACTGGATACATTTGTAGGAGAGTAAATCTATATTTATGGATTTGGATTTCCTTTTAGATTGTGTCAGAAGCAAAAGTTCCATTGTTGTTTCTACATTTGCATTGTGGGACGGCATTATCTCCTTTTCTCTGTTAAAGGATGGTCCTGTGTATCCTTTGCTTGGGGAGATGAGAAAGGGTGTCTTTCCTTTACATTTAGAGAATGCAAACAGCTCTTATGATGTAGTTGAAATACTTCTGGGTCATTTGACGAATGAAACACTTGATATGCAGCCCAAGTGGAGGGTAATGATGGAAGGTCCCAACCATCGGCTTATATAAAGATGGACGACATGACAGCTCTCCAAAAGTGAAGCCAAAACATCTCTATCTCCCCCTGGTGGCTGACTGCAGTATAGGTCATAAAGCCTGCTGCCTCCATGTTAGCAGATGGGACAACTAAAAGTACTAAAAGTACACGTCAAATAAATGATGGACCAAAGATAGACCAACAGAATAGACCAAAGATGGTTTCTGTCTTTTTTAGTTTTTATCAAACTGACGTATGTTTTAGTGTTCATTTTTCTGATAGGTTCAGTTTTAAGTAGTATTAAAAGCTATAAAAAGGGGTTTTACGTCATGATTGACAGCTGAGTCCTGCTCGCGATTGAGTTGGCCGGGCGTATGGGCGGGACTGCACCAAGCAGCAGATATAGCAGCGGCTGTATCCAGGATATTTTATATGTGAACGGTCCCTACATAATGACTCATCCTGAACTATCTCTCTCTTCCTCACAGGAGCAGAGCGAGTGATCACCCTGAAGATGGAGATACCCGGTTCCATGCCTCCTCTCATCCAGGAGATGCTGGAGAACTCTGAGGGACTGGAGGGGCATGGAGCCGGGGGAGGGAAGGGAGGAGGTGGAAAAGGAAGAGGCAGAAAAGAGGAAAAAGAGGAAGAGCTTGGAAGCAGCCACCCAAGTCCGTTGCCTAAGTCAGTCCCCTCTCCCGCGAGCCCTGCGCCCTCCTCACCCTCCTCACCCTCCCCCTCGACCTGAGGTCCACCCGGCAGCACGGCGTGGCACTGCGAGGAAACCATCCACACACAGACTGAAAGCAGAAAACACTGCACCTAATCACAGATGAACGTGTGAACGTATGAACCCACAAACTCTTTTACTGGGTTACTGGTGACATCAGTAACATTGATTCAACCTTATGCCAGCCAGGAGGGAGGCTAAATATCTTTATACAAGTGCTGCAGGGAAGTGGTGAGAGGTTGAATGACAGAGGTGAGGGCTGATTTGTGTTCAGATGTCATTGTTTTATACATTAAATGCAAAAAAACAACATGATTTCAAATTTTTGGGTATCTTTTTACAATGCCTCAAAGGTTAACTATATGCAGACTGTGTGAACCTAAATGAAGGGTTAATGAGATACTGGAATGTGGGCAAACTGATGTAGAGGAGTCCTTATAAATCACACATTTCCTCCCTTATGAAAAGTCATGTATAGTATGCAGAATCATTATGTGTAACATATTGTATATAAAAAAGGCTGTGAAAGAAGTTGTCGGGACAGAGATAGACTGATGCGAGACGTTATTTTCCTAAATGTACATGTGTATATACTGTATTTCAGAGTTCTTCCTTTCCTCTCTCCACCTTCACCAACACATACACCACTTCCAACCCTCTGCTTCTGATCCCCTCACTGACACTTCAGGGAAGATTAATGATCCTTGACTCAACTTTTCTCCACTGGAACCATAAACACAAATTGGAGACGTTCTATAGCTTGAGAAAAATGTATTTCTCCATGTTTTACTTTGCATAATCCTCTGCCAGAAAAGATGTATTTGTTTTCAGATGCAGCTTCAGCAACTCAAGTGACTTAATTGCAACAGACTGTGAAACATAAGAAATTTTAATTTTAAAATGATACAACGTTCACCTCTTGGTGGACACTCTCAACCAAAGTTAACTGTGATACCAGGAGTACAAACACCCACACACCCTCACAAGTGTGTTTCCTCTGTGGTAACAACCCCACACTGTGGCACGAGAGCTGTTGAGCTCTGCAGAGTTATCAGTTAAATGAAGGTTGTATGGAAATCTCATCATCATGACAGGTGCTGCCAAAATACATCTCAAAATGTATACAAGCTGCATTTTGTTTTTTATATTCTGCACCACTAACTCTCATAGTCTGTTTACACAGTGCCACTGCCTCACTACAACATACTCTGTCAGGTACAAATCATTTTCAGTGTTGTCCTCTTTAATGTATGGTGAGGTAAAAACTCATTGGAAAGTATAAAAATACAGGGAGTTTAATAAAGTATGATTTCCTTCTATGCTGGAATATGTGTGCTCTTTGGTAAAACATGTTTCACTGTGAAATGCATTGTTATATTCACATATCCGATAAAAGTTGAAATGCCACGTAGGTCCATATTCAAATATTTAATGCTACTTTCAATCCACCAACCATATGTTGGATTTGTTTGCTTGTGTATATATAGAGTGCATGTACAAACAGAAATGTCAAACATCAGGGCAGTTTGAAGATGCAGGTAAGTATAATGCCATGATACTGACAATGTCTGTGCATGTATATGAAACTTTTTAAGTTTTGCTTTATTGCTGAAAACATCATTGAATGATGTCTTATTGGGTATATTGAGTTTTTTTATGTTTTATCGTCACCGCAGTCATACAGACCGCAGTGACATTATTATATACACACAGTGGACCTAAGAGCGCAGCAAAGGGAATGAAACAGACATTAGGATATATTTTGCTGCATTCAAGTACTGTAATTTCTAACTATGTGTATTAATTATGCAGTAGGTTTTGTATTGGTGCCTATCCAACAAGGTGTGTGTTCAGTGTCGGACGGGTGGAGGCTGTGGTTTTATACCAATTTTGATCAGTTGGTCCCTCAAACTTTTAGTTGTTTTTTTGATTGCTTTGGAGTTTCCCAGAAATGATTGAACCACTTGTGTTAACATTTGAAAGGTTTTTCCTGTGAATTAAATAACATGAGCAGCGGAGATAATGCAGAAGTAATGAAACAGACTTTTTACTGACAATGCTCATTATCCAGAAGTGCAACAAAAGGGAGGCAGCATGATCAATGTAACCATAACTGTTGAACAAGCAGAACACAAACATTCAGACTGTTTTGACAAAGAATGGTTCATAAATATAAAATATGTAGTGCTCTGATTGTAATGTTCTGCTGTGCGACCTACTGGTTATTCTTTTCCACTTCAAGCACTACTTGTGAACATGAAGCATGAAATGACATATGACGGCCTGTCAGACTGTGGTGGAGCTCGTTGGGGGGTGCTAGAATGCTGGTGGTGTTCAATCATTATTTTTGAGGTGGAAATCCGGATTCAGTTCAGGCCTGAACCGACACACACATGTAAGGAAAGAACAAAGGAAGAAACGTTGCCAAATGAAATAAAGGGCAAAACAAACAGATAATTCATACATATTATACATTTATACACATAAGACAGTACATTTTAGTTTTTTTATGTTGTAAAACTGGTTTGTGTGGGTGAAAATGCCAAGGAGCTAAAAGATAAAACAAAAAGAATTCGTAATATAGTGTAATTTTCTTTTTGCTGAAATAGATTTTAAAAAATTGGTATTAAAAAAAAGTATTGTTGAGGATCCGGTATCGAAGTCAAGGTATCGGTACTGGTACCCAGCACAAATGAGCTCATCACTGAGATTTACAGAAACGAGTCACCCATGTTTTGGGGCGTTCCTGGGGGCAAGAGAGCAGAGTCGAGGGTGTAACGCTGCCACACCAGGAGCTTTTCCTCAGTAACGTTAATGTCTAAAGAATCTCTGCTGAGTCATTAATTCTGTGTGTCAGTTAATGAAATACCACATTAAAAAAAAATATATAAAATAAAAAATAAAATAATTGCAGTCAAACATAATTATTCAGTAATTCTATGACCTTCTCAGGCTGCTGAACTTAGCCTGCAAGAGCTTGATTGGAGAGTAGACATCTTCCATTTGATAACTAGGGCACAAGGTCAACTGGGTGGAGCTACAGATGGCCTCATCAACTACATCATGCTTTCTGAACTGGTTGGGACTGGACTGGACTGGTTCTGAATTGGTTTTGGAGTGTGTGGTTAAAAAAACCCCAACAATTTTGTCTGTCTCCAGGACATCTCAGAATTCCTAAAATTGTGACTTTTCATCCTTGTTAAAGGGCCACTTGGCAATTGGTGCTACAGGACAACACCTGAGGATACACAATAAGTAATTTGATTACTTTTGGATGATTCTGCGTGATTTGGAATGCAAAGCTGTTAAAGATCTCCCAAGATCCCCATCTCTGACGCAGAACACCAACAGCCATTCATATCCTGACCCCTCATTGAGATGTTCTTGCTTTTTTTGCAAGTAGAGTTGAACAATTCGCTCTGGAGGGTCCTTGTTTTCTGGTGGTATTGGTTAGGGGGAACAGGAACCCGTATAGAGTCAAAGGCAGATTCATGGTGCTGCCATTAAGACACAACAAGATAAATATTCCTTATCCAATGCCCAAATGCGGAGTCAAACCAGCTTGATTACCTACAGGGAAGAACTTGCCATATAAAATAGTAGCCCTATGACTATGAGGCCTTCTACTATAAAGTTTTACCCAAGAGATGGGATTGTACCCTAATGAAGCAATGTCTTTGTCTTTATTGACTTTGTCTTTAGTGAATCTAAATTCTTTGAGCCAATCAGCCACACACTGTTCAACCATACTCTGTGTACTCTTGTTCTACAGTTAACATACCTCTAGGTCAAATGCAGGGACAATTAATGGTCACACTAGCTCCTGTGTCAACCAGGTAGTGTTCATCCTCAGTGTCAGTATAGATCCCATTACCATGGCTAGATTTAATCATGATGAGTTTGGCCTTCTTTGGTGGGTACAAACTTGTAAAACTTCTGGCTGAAAGGATGTTGGTTTTCTCTACTTACATAACTCTTATCAAAGTTCTTCTTTCTCTTTCCCTTTTCTGTCGTAACTCTTTATTGAAACTTCTTAACGGTGACGGTGACTGTTTACCATAACCCAGGTGTCACAAAGTTAGCTCTTGGCTGCTTCCTCTGGGTTAATGGGTCTCAAAGTTAGCATCAGCCCCCCTAGTTCCAGACTGGTTTGTCGACCCTGAACTTCTTTACTGCAGGGCCATGAACTCTCTTCTTTTGGACATAGTCTTCTTCACTCAAGCATCCTCAGGTTGGGTGACTTAGGGGGCCACGGGAGCTTAGCTTTAGTGCTGTAGCCAAATGGAAACATCTCTTCAGGATGAATTCTTAGTTCCCCAGCAATCAATAAGTCTCTCTCAATTATTTACGATATTGTGACAACCCTTTGCTTATGTCTCTCTGTGTGCCCTATACTCATGGTGTGTGTTTTGTCTTGGAGTTGTCAGAGGAGCTGATTGAGCATATCCAATCCGATCTGGAGCACCTGGGCCCAGTGAGTGCCAGATATAAAATCTCCAGCTTCCTGCGTGGCTCTCTCTTTTTCTTTCTCTCTCATCCATCCACATATCATATTTCAAGTTGTGTTTAAGTTATTCTTTGTTGTTAGAATAAATAATTGTTATTTTTTGCAAAGCTGTGTCTTATCCACTTTTGGTCATGGCCTATGGGACAGGTTGTCACACTATATGGATGTCCTCCATCAGGTAACTAGTAAGCACAAGGTCAACTAGGTGCAGCTACAGATGGCCTGACCAACTTTGCAATAGAAATAAGCTGCTTCATGACACAAACATCATACCCATTATTCATAAGTTCAGGACAGCTCAGGTCCTAAACCAATGTTTTGCAGTGTTTTTCTGTTCTGATCAAGGTACTTCCCCATAATCTCAGCCATCTGTGTCCGCTCGGACTCCTCAATGCTTTCCACCAGTTCTTTCATTTCCCTATACTCTCATTTACAAGCCCACTCCTATAAGACCACAAAGTGGTTAAATTTCTTCAACTTTAATTCTCATTTTTAACTAAAAATGTCCCCTTCTTTTGCTGTGCTGTGGATCTTATTTTGTTGATGGCAGGTCAGGTATTGGAGATATACAGATCCAGTGAGCAATGACCAGCTCTGATTGCTATTTCTCTTTTTCTGAGCCTTCTGTGGTAGAATTAAATATATATATAACTATATCATGACAATACAATTTTAAAATAGTTTGCAAATGCATTAAGAAGAAAAAAAGAAATATCAGAAATATTCAGACCCTTTGATATTACACTTGCAATTTAGCTCAGATGCCTTCCTTTTCTCTTGATCATCTTTGAGTGTGTGCTTCAACACATTTCTGCTAATGTAATGAGATATTCTTTTTTCCTCTCCTTCCTTTGATCTTACTGTCACCTGCAGGTCAGTCCATTCTCCTGTGTGATACATACATTATTTCCATTTATGTTCTCTGTGAAGTATACAAATATTGTATTTCTTGCCTGATAGGTGTGCAGATCAGATTAGATGGGAATGGGTCTACTCTGTGTTCTGGAAGGGTTGAAAACACCTGGGGAACAGTCTGTGATCACAGCTGGACCTTATTTGAGGCTAATGTGGTGTGCAGGGACCTGGGCTGTGGTACTACACTGAGGGCCTCTCACTTGTCCTACTTTGGTCAAGGAAAGGACCAATCTGGCTTGATGATGTGGACTGTTCAGGAAGCAAAAGTTCTATAACTGAGTGTCAGCACAAAGAATGTGGGGAACACAGCTGTTACCACGCTGAGCCCTGTTCAGGTGAGAAGACATTTTTATCTAGTATCTCATCTTTAAATTAAGTAATAAAGTTAAAATCAGTGCAGTTATCTGCATAGTTCCTCTATCAGTCAGTCCATGCATTTCTATAGAGCACTATAAAGTGATGACATATGGGATCAAGTACGTTAGTTAAGTACTAAATATATAGAATATATATATACATGCATAACAATACACTACTATGCCAAAGCAATCCTAAAAGCTAATACTGCTGCAGGTCCTCCATTCTCCTGTGTGATTTATACAATTCCTGGTGTTTTCCATATATGTTGTGATAATGTGATATGTGAATAAGTGTGTGATTGCTGCAAGCTGCATGTATTTGTGCCAATTATGCTTTTTGTTACATGATGTTTTGTGTTCTAAAGAGTTCCAACTGTGGCTCCCGGGGAACAGTCTGTGTTGACTCTGATCGTGGGCTGGTAAATTATGCTATGGTGGTGTCCAGACTGTGGGTGTTGTGGTACGGCCTGCGTGCCCCTGCGGTGGCCCAGTTTGGGCTGAAGAATCTGTCTTGATGATGTGGACTGTGCCGAAGTGT